GTTGTACTTGGTGGTCTCAGAGGCTTGCCCAAACTGAAAGGTTAAGATAAAAAAAATGAAGGAAATGAACATTTCTTGCTACAAATACACTCCCTAAGCTCAATTAAAAATGTTTCTTTTCACTTACTTAATATCATGTCTCAAAATCCTTCAGTTACAGTGGTCTGATTATCTCATCATACTGCCTTCCCTTCCCTTTTACTCTGAACAATACTGTACATTTTCATAGTAATTATACTTTGATTTTCTATACACCCGTGCTCTCACTTGAGCATCTGAAAGGGCCTTAAGTACTATTGAATTGATCTTCAAAACACCTCTTCCATTATCCTCCTCATCCTCATTCCACGGGTGGGTGGAAATAGCAGCAAGGAGCCAGTGACCTGCGAAAGGCAGTGGAGAGAGCAGGGGCAGAAATGGAAGAAGGTGAGAGCCGAAAATGGGCGACACCAGCCTCACCATTATCCCCCAGCAATTTCCCAGCTGATAAAACAGGATAGAGGAGCTGTTCCTTGGCTTCTGGAAACCCACAACGAGCTGTCATCTCCCAAGGTGCTTTTAGCCACCTCAGTGTGTAAGCATTTTCCTGGAAAAGGCAAGATAATTTACCAGACAGACAACATTTGTAGGTGTTGTTGCGAACACACGGATATATTATTTTTACATGAACGAAATACGCCTATCCCTAAAGCCACGTGGTTTGGCTGGGCAGGTGAGGGGACAGGAAAAGTTACCAAGAGTTGGGATAAAAGGGATTAGCCAGAAAATGACCTGGATTTGGGTAAACTGTCAGGAGGGAAGACAAAACAACCATGGCTGGGAAAGCGATGCTGCTGCTGGGTGGGTCTCCTTTGAAATTGGTGCTCGAGGGCACATTCCACTAGTCTTACACGCAGAGCAACCACCTCTATGGCCTCTAAAAATCACGTACAAATGTATACATCGTACACCAGGGACCCACCGTTTAATTTTACATCTTATTTTGGCTTTGTTTCTCGAATTTCGCTGTTTCTGTGGAAATTCCCGGGGAGAGGAATCTGTCTCTTCAGCGTGTTTTAGTCTGAATCTTACAGGACTCACCCGGGTTTGTCATTCCTCAGGTGTGGCAGCCCCAGCACTAGCCCGGATAATGCAGAGTGATTGTTGGGCTGGATGAATTCTGACTGAAAGCCTCCCTGACTTCTGCAGAGCCTTCAGGTGAGTTTGGCCCGTGGATCCCATTGTTATGGTAAGGAGCTGTCAGTGCCGCGCACCGATCAGGGGAGCTGGCGCTGATGAGCTGCTGAAGCTGAAGCGTGCTATTTCACAGTGTTATTAAATAAATCATTCAAATTTCGGCGACAGACTGCTCTCTCTCAGGCTCTTCTCTTCCTGACTTCCCTTGACTCCTGCTGTATTATTTACCCGGTGAAAGTGCTGCACAATGGCTGGGGCTGGGGATTGGAAGTGGTTTGGATAACCTCTCCCCCCTGCCCTGCCTGGAATCTTCCCGTGTGGTATAACTGTGTTGTAGGTAAATACTTGAGTGAACCCTTGTGCCAGGGTAAATTTGGTCAAGTGGGGCCAGTGCTTTTGGGAATCATGGACTAAAAGTAAGAAATTCTGAGGTAAGTTTTGGTGGGGAGGGACAAGAGGATTGAAACTGCAAGAACCTGGTGTTGGAATTCTACTGACACGGTTTGGAGCCCAACAAATCCCGTTTCTGCACACACTTCTGCAGTGGAAATTGTCAGCAGTTTCAGGATCAGGAAAGTGTTCCAGCAACATTCAAAGGATCATCTTGCTTGAGATATGCAGTGATTATGCAGCATGCTGCAGGTTTCAAACTTCACCTGAAAAAATGCACAGATGTTATGGGGAAAAGAACCACCAAACACAAACAAAACTAGATTTGACGATATCTCTAATTTAACTGCTGTTAAGACTTTTGGAGGTTCTGGTAAATTCCTGGACTCTGTAATTCAAGAAAAGGAAAAAAAGTCCTTGGCCTTGTCCAAATAATGATAAACAAAAGCATGAATGTTATAAACTTATTTAATAGAGTATTTGGTGAAATCTAGCACAGAGGTGATATTTTAGAAGTTAGCATAAATATTTAGATATTTATGCTAACTTCTAAAATATCACCTCTCTATTTAGATATTTATGCTAACCTCTTCATTTTAGGCAGCAGGTCTTTTCTGTGATGTAAAGAAAATTCTTATCATTAACAAATGGGAGAAAGAGGTATATTAAAAATGTATGGTTAGAGGGCATGATCTTCTGTTGGTGAGGACATTAAAGCAGGGATTTTCTCCAGTGCCACAACTGTTCTATTAGGAATGCTACAGAGCAGTAAAACGATAAGAATTCCTCGGGAGGGGAGGCCTGAAGGAGAACTGCATAATCCCTTGTTTCAGGTTACTTTGTCTCTGCACCCGTTTAACTCATATTTTTACAAGTGGCTCTGAAATGTTCACAGAGAGACCATCACCACACTATGCACTTGTGCTTAAGAGAGATTTAATAACATTTTTTCCCCAAGTAAACTTCTAAGAAAGCTCCAATCTGCTGTTCATAAACTCACACTAGTGTTACCAGCATGCTCTCTGACAACACAAAGCAGTTTAATTTCATTGCTGTAGGTCCATATCCATAGCCCATTGGATGTTTTCTAAGGTACAGAAGCCCAGAGCCACATCATAACCCCTTTACAGCTCCCAAAGACCACCTCAACCCATGATAATCCCCCCTGTAGCTCCCCAAATCGTCCCAAATCCATATCTGCCCTATAGCCCCTGAGACCCCCAGAGTTGCCCCAAATTCATGATATGCCCTCACAGCCCCACAAGCTCCTCCTGAGCCCCCCAGACCCATGATAACTCTCCAGAACCTCCTCCCAACTCCCCCAGAGCCCCCCAATCCATTTTACCTCTCCATTAACCCTCTTGTCCCTGTAGAACCCCCAGAGCCCCTATAGCACCCCCAGACCTCTCTAGAGCCCCTCCAAATCTCTAACAGCCCAGAGCCCCACAACTCCTCTGCACTCCCAAAATCCCCTATAGAACTACCAGAGCCCCCATAACTCCCTGAGAGCTCCCCCAGACCCTCCCAGACCGCCACAAATCCACGATAAACCCCATTACTCCCTTTGGCCTCCCCAGACCTCCCCAAACACCCCCATAATCCCTGTATATCCCTCTACAGCGCCCCAAATCCATTATATCCCAGAGCACCCCCAGTCCCCTTGTGCCCCCAGACCCCCATAAACCCATGAAATCCCCCCACAGCTACCCCAAAACCACCACAGCCCCCCAGACCTCCCCCAAGCCACGATAATCCTCCCAACAGCTCTCTTAACATCCCAGACCTTCCTTAAACCCGTGATAATTCCCCTTTAGCCCCCCCAGACACCCTCAAACGTCCCCCCAGGCCCCTTGTACCCCTCTCCCCAGACCCCCCAAACCCACAGATACCACCCCACAGTTTTCACCCAGCTGCCATCAGGAGGTATTTCCACAGCTCTGGCTGTGACTCCAGTGTGCCAAAAGCACGTTGCAGTTGTGCTGCTCCACTGCTAGGTATGGAGTTGGCATTTCCTCCTGGGATCTGAGCAGTCAGAGCAGGATTTCATGGTCTCTAATAAGAGAAATTAGCTGTTACTAAAATAACAGGGAGTGATAACACTTCGTGGGTTACAACCTTACTGGGGAAGGCCTCAGTTGGACTCTGAGATTAAGCTCCAGGGCTTGTCGCTTTGCTATCACAGGCAAGGGGAAAAACAGAGAAGAAAGGGAAATGAAACAAAACCTAACTCTTGGGATGGTGCCTGTGGTGATCCTCAGAAATCCTGGGGTCAAACGTACAGATCCCATACATCCCTGGCGTGCAGGGTGTTGTGTGCATGCTGTGCTGTGACACCAAGGACAAGTGTTAAGTCCAACCTGTTGGGACACAACCTGTGCTGAATGTACTATACATAAATTCTGTAACAAACATATACAGAAATACTTTTAAACTTGTGTTACTTCTTGCTTGGCCTCTGGATAACTTCTGTTGTTGAACTATTTTATTTTACAAAACAAAAAAATATTTAAAAAATCCTTTCACCTCTGTAGAATTTCCCTCTCAATCTTCAACTGGATCAGCCTGCTTAGGTAAAAGAATTCTTTAGACCTGTACCAGAAGAGTAATTTGCTCTGGAGCTTATCAATACATTTAATTTATGTTTAATTAAATAAACTATTTAATTAAACGGTGCTATACTTTTAAAATTTGTTATTTGTATAAAAGTAATCCTAGTTCTGATCTACCTACAAAAATATTTCACACACTTCATTTTGAACTTCTCTCTGACTTTTTTAGCTAACTTGACACTGGTATTGTAGTTTGCTGGTTTAATAAAACAAAAGAGAAACACTCACTTGCTTATTTATTAGAATTATATGTATTTACTACAGTTACAAGTGTATCCTCTTACTGTAATTTCTTATAATAATGACCTTTACTCCAATGCCCATGGATGTTTTAATGCTGTTTTGACCAAGAACTTGTGAGCTAATTAGAAAAAAATCTTTCTGCATCAAGCAGTCCTCATTAGCTGCAACACCCCCCAAATTAAATTTCCCTGCTCACGAGCAACACTTTTAAGACCTTCAACTGTTGCTACCTTTTGTATGAATGGTTTTCAGTGTTTCCTAGATAGCCTGTCTCAAGCTGAGTTTGATATATACTGGGCTAATAAGAGACAAAAAAAATAAAGAAAACATGAAGTGACATGAAAGGAATACAAAACAAATGAAAAATGTTCTGAACTCTGAAAGATTTATTCAACTTTTATGTAAAATGAAAAAGGTAGGAAAAACTGCTAAAAACAGAGGTGGCAACAACTGGTGCATTGTGACTGTACTTCCTTCAGTGCTGATTGGAAACATTTGCCACTGGAGTGGAATAAAAACCTTCATGAAAAATGAATGCTGTTTGTGTACCTCTCAGTTTATTTCCTTTTGAACTTTCAGCGCAGTCACAGGGCCCAAGAGCTCAAACAGTCGAAGGCACAGAATGCAAGTTGACAAAATTCATCTCCATTCAGCAGCCCAGTAGTTACCACAGTCTTCACCAGGTCACTTCATTCCTCCTTTTCTGCCAGCAAAAGGAAAAATAGCACTACTTGTGTACCTCACAAAAGAAGAGTGGTATTACAGTGATTACTGAAAAATAGAGTTTGTTAACAGTTTTGAAAAAGTAACTGTCCGCTTACCAAGTTCTATCAGGGGACAGGATTTTGACTACTAAGTCGCCTGAAAAAACATAGCAGAAAAATTCAGAATACCTTATTTTTAATTCTTATTACATATTAGTACAGAAAATGAAGAAACTCGGTGTTATAGCATAGGTGAAATTGTTTGAGCGTGCTGTCCAAGACATTCTCAGAAGCATTTTGCTTTGGCTACACCATTATTTCTGATTTCTCCCACCTGGCAATAGTCCTTTGTTACAAAACTTTGCAAACATGGGTACTGCCAGGCACCGGCAATAACAAATGATTATCTCTTTTTGTCCTAGCAACATCACTCAGCGTCAGAAATTAGGAGTAATCAAAGAACAAAGTGTAAGAAGTAGCATTAGAATTACTGTGAGGAATTACTTTGTCAGGAGAAGGAGCGCACTGAGGAAGATTCATGGAATGAAATGTTCCTGGTGTTAATTCTGCCAGTCTGGGAGCTGTAATGTCACCTTCTCTCCTTTGGAGAGTGGAGTGCTGCATGAACTGCTCGACTGATCAAGGAGTTTGGGCTGGAGCTGCATTTCCTGGCACAAAAGAGCAGGATGAAGAGATGAAAAAGACCTTTCAGAGGTCATTCAGTCTGGCTGATAAAGGATTATTCTCCACAATCTTTATTTAGTTCAGTTCTAAAATTCCCAATCGACTAGGTCCCTACAACCACTGTAATTTACTCTGAAATTGTTTTTCATTTTGATGTTTGATAGAAATTTGGTATTTGTATCAACGATTTTGCTCATTCATCATCACAATCATCAATGATTATTTATGAAAAATACATATATTCTAAATGCATAATAATATATTTAGAAGAAAATTAAAAGGTCTAATGACCTTTTAATGCATTTAAAGCAGTGACACAAGGAACAGGGCTGTTAGTGCTCCTGCCTGGCAGAGATGAGATGGAAATCAGAGGCACTTTTCAGGCAAAAGGAGGAAGAGAGAGGAGAGACCCCCCCACTTTGGGACTTCTTGTCCAGTAATTTCGGAGCCGCAGCAGATGCATTTCCCTTGATAAAGAGGCACACACTGCAATCCACTGCAGTGCCCTGGCAACGGGACTGGAGATGACCAAGCTGATACCAGGTGCTGCAAGAACAGAATTTCACTCTGCTCAGCCTTATTGTGTCAACCATGGCAACTCCTTTGCCAACTTCGGTGCAAAATCAGGGCCCTCTCAGCCACTTTTTATACGAGCCATGTCTCAAACCCAACGATTCTTCCCTAAGATAATCCAGAGAGACAGTCACAAAGCTAAAATTAGAAATCAGGAGCTGTAGCTTCCAAGAAAATGCACATTACGTGATGTTTTTTCATTACCACATGCATTTACTGTTAGCAAAAATGGCCTAGAGAGAACACTCTACAGTGAAAAATCCTCCCCTAAAACTCAGGGGTGGGTGACAACACGGTGTTTTACTCAACAGATTAAAAAAAAAAAACATTTAAAAGAAACAGCAAAGAATTATATAAACAATTAATTCTGATGAATAAATAAGGGCTATAGCATCATAGCCTATAATGGCATCACCCAAACTATACAGCTGATTTTAAAAATTATGTATACAGAGAAAATACTGTTCTATGAGGGCACCATAATCTGTTCAAATAATACAATTAATGCAACTAATACACATAATACAATTAATAATTCTCCAGAATAATGAAGTAAAACTTCATTTATATAACCACCTAACGTTGAAAACTGCAAGCTTAAATGGAACCTTTCATTGATCACAAGTGGTGAAAATAATCTTTGCACATGAACTCTGGTATTTATTTGAAGGACTTGGCTTGCTAATAGGAATTTTAAGAACAAAGAGAGATGCTTTAGTTCAGGAATATGTGAAAAGAAAAGGAAGAAAAAGGAAAAAGGAAAAAGGAAAAGAAAAAGGAAAAAGGAAAAAGGAAAAAGGAAAAAGGAAAAAGGAGAAAGAAAAAGAAAAAACAAAAATGAAAAGGAAAAAAAGAAAAAAGCTTTGGCCCTCCTGAGCTCTCCACACCCAGCAAATTACAAGGAAATTTGGAAGTGCACAGTTGGGAAAATGTCACATCACAACCCACCATTTGCATACAGAAGCTTTTCCTGAGCAGTGTGGTCTCCAGACTGGCGGGGTAGCTGTGGTTTACTATACACACACAGCAATCCTAGAACTGTTAAAACAGCAGGTAAAACAAATATTTTATGTCTATACTCTTGTAGTGTGTTCTGCACACACTACCTTGGACTGCCTAGCTGTGCCAGGCAAGACGTTACCACTGGAAAATATGTTTTAATAGACTCTTTAATTTAAAAATAATTCCAACAGCATTTGCATACCAGAACGGCTTCAATGCTCCTCCCAAATCCTCAGACCTGCAGGCAATTACAGAAACAGCACAGCTGGGTAATGGAAGAAACGCTGGAATACATGCTGGCACTCCTGGAAATAGCATAGGAATGGCCTAGGAAGTGCTCAGGTGACCCCCCTGCCATGTTAACTCCACACCACATCCTCCTCAAGGAGTAACATTATATATTTATACAGTGGGGACAGGAAGGTGACTAGGCCTGCTATAGCTGAGGTCTTGGTGTTAAAACAAGCTTGGGCTGGCTGCACGGAGGGCTGACTGGGCACCCGCACCGCTCACCGGGCCGCAGCCCCCAGGCTCCCTCACGGCCCTCAGGGCCTCCACACGCCGCAGGCGCCTCCGCCCCGTCCCTCCCTCATGGCTCCCAGCCCCTCATCCCTCAATTCCCACTGCCCGTCCAGCCCTTCATCCCCTCCAGCCCTGCTGCCCCTCGTCTCTGCCACCCTCACCCTACTTGTCCCCCTCAACTCTGCAGCCCGCTCAGCCTTCACCCCCTAGAGCCCCTCATTCCCTCACCCAGCTCTTTTCCTTCATTCCTCTCATTCCCTTTATCCCCTCGTATCCCTTTCGTTCTCGGCATCCCGCCATTCCATCGTCCTTATCATCCCCCTTGCTCCTTCATTCCCTCATCGCTACCATTCCCCCATTCCCGCAGCCCTCACATTCCCTCATTCCATTCCCTCACTCCTTTATCCCCCTCACTCCTTCATTCCCTCATCCCTCTCATGCCCTCATTCCTTCATTCCCCCATTCCCTCATCTCTCTCATTCCCTAATCCCTCACATTCTGTCATTTCTTCATTCCATTCCCTCACTCCTTTATCCCCCTCACTCCTTCATTCTCTCATCACCTCATTCCTTCATCCCTCTCATTCCCTCACCCCTTCCTTCCCTCCTCCCTCTCATTCCCCCATTTCCTCATCCCCCCATTCCCTCATGCCTTCATCCCATTCCCTCACTCCTTTATCCCCGTCAGTCCTTTATTCCTTCTTTCCCTC